AAGAAGCAGGAAGTGCCCATGGTGGAGAAGAAGCAGGAAGTGCCCATGGTGGATGCTGAAGCCATTAATTTGGCTGTTGTGGAAGATGTTGTTCCCCTCTCTGTGATTCGACCCAAAGATAATAGTGGGGAGGATGTTGTCGCCGACATGGAGGGGGAGCTTGGGGATTCGGAGACATCATTTTCAGAGGAGGATGGCCAGAGGTTTGTCATCAAAAGCCGCGCGCCAAGTAGAGTGCAAGAACCACCCATCCCCCATGCAGGGCAGGTTCGCAGGGTGGTCGCTGAGTTTGAGGCCAATCTGGTTCTCAGAGAAGAGAAAGATCCCGTTGAGGCTGGGGAAGGGGCCATGGTTGCGAAGCTGAACGAGTATGGGTCCAACTTGGAGGCCCTTACTCGCAAACGTGCTCTCGAGGCTATTGAAGGGGAAATTGGGGAAAATCCTAATCCCAAAAAACAATTTGTGGAAGAAGAAGAAGGCAATGTGATGGTGGAGGAAGCCAGCCAGAAGTGGCCCCAGTTGGATAAATGAGGATTTTGGGATGGAATGTGAGAGGAATTGGGCCATCCCTCACATTTCAAACTGCTTTAGGTTTAGTTCGTTCAAATAAACCGGACCTTGTCTTCTTTTCAGAAACAAGATCGTGCCGGAGAGTTGTTTCCCGTCGTGTACGGGGTTTAGGGTTTGATGTGAGTCATTGTTTCTTTGTTGATGCCATTGATGGGTCTGGTGGTCTTGTAGTAGCTTGGTCCCCTGAAGTTGAGGCTTCAGTGTTTTTTCATTCAAGTTTTTGCATTTGTACTCGTATTAATGAAAATGGTTCTTCTTATGTGGTGGTTGGTGTGTATTTGAGCTGCAATTTGGCGAACCGGGCTAGTCAGTTAACCCAATTACGGGAGATTTGTGAGGGTCTGATGGAACCCTTTGTGATTATGGGCGATTTTAATGCGACTCTGTCCGAAAATGAAAAAGATGGGGGTAACCCTTGGAATGCTGCGCAATCCTTGGACCTCCGGAATTTTATCCAAATGTTAGGGCTGCATGATCCTGGGTTCCAAGGGGATCCCTTCACTTGGACCAACAAGCGGATGGGTCTAGCCTGTATTCGTGCAAGGCTTGACAGGGCTCTCTGCTCCCAGAATTGGATAGACTGTTATCCTGAGACTCTTGTTAAACATTTCACGGACCAGGGATCGGATCATAGAGCGTTGATCCTTTCGGATAAGCCATATGTGCGGAATTGTCGTCCTCTGTTTCGGTTTGATGCGCGATGGGCGGATAATCCCGAAGTCAGAGCCATGGTGGAGTATGTCTGGAGGGAGAATGTCACGGGTACCCCTATGTTCCAATTGTGGGAAAGGCTTAAGAAACTCCGCCATTTGCTGTATGACTGGAGTAGAGCGGGTACCACTAACTCTCTTCGCAATATTCATACTCTTCAAGGCGAGATTGATAGGCTAAAACGCTTGCACCCTATTGATTGGCATGAGGTGACTCGGTTGGAGATGGAGTTAAGTAGACAATGGGATGCGGAGGAAGTTTATTGGCAGCAAAAATCCCGTGTTACGTGGTTGACAAAGGGAGATAAAAACTCGGCCTATTTCCATACGGTTACGCGAGCTCGCCGGAAACGGAATTTTGTGAGTGGGCTGCGTAATGAGGATGGTGACTGGATCACGGCCGAGGCTGGAAAAGCTGAGCTTGCTACCAATTTTTATCGTTCCCTATTCACTTCAGAAAATCAGATTGGGAATATGCATGATAGAGTAGCTGCGCTCCCCATTGACCCTTGCGTGACCCCAGAAATGAATGCATCCCTAACGGCTGAAGTGTTGCCTAAAGAGATAAGGGACACTGTGTTCTCGATGGGATCAAAACAGGCGCCAGGGTCGGATGGGTTTACGGGGAAGTTTTTCAAAGCGTTTTGGGGTACAGTTGGGGAGTCTGTGATCCGTGCGGTGAGCTCGTTTTTCGAGAATAGTAGGATGCTGCGTAGCTTTAACCATACGTGGTTGACCTTGATTCCGAAAGTGGATCAAGTTGAATCTATGCGTCAGCTGCGTCCTATCAGCCTCTGCCAGTTTGTGTATAAGGTTATTACCAAAATTATGGCAGGTCGATTGGCTGTTATTTTGCCCCGGATTGTATCTGATGGTCAGAATGCTTTTATTCGGGAGAGGCAAATTGTGGATAACATTCTATTGGGACATGAGTTGATGCATTACCTCAAAATCAAAACCCGTGGGAAGAAGGGATATATGGCTCTAAAGGTTGATATGGAAAAGGCCTATGATAGAGTCGAATGGCCCTTCCTGCTAGGGGTTTTGGAAAAAATGGGTTTTAACTCGGTCTGGCGAGGATGGATTCAGGAGTGCCTCCAATCGACGTCTTTCTCAGTTCTTATGAATGGGACTCCAGCTGGTTTCTTTTCTCCTTCCCGAGGCCTAAGGCAGGGTGATCCGCTTTCGCCTCTTCTGTTTGTCATCTGTACAGAAGGGTTTGCGGCCCTCCTTCGCCAGGCTATCTCGGACGGGAAATTACAAGGTGTCAAAGTGGCTCCCCGTGCTCCTCGTATTTCACATTTATTCTTTGCGGACGATTCTTACCTTTTTCTTAGAGGTTCCCTCGAAGAATGTGAGAATTTGATTGAAGTTCTTAACGAATACGAGGAGTTGAGTGGGCAGAGAGTGAATCTTGAAAAGTCGGCGGTGTGTTTCAGTAAGAATATCGCGATAGAGGATCAGGAGTTCTTAGCGGCTATTTTGGGGGTGGGGGCTGTGGGTGTCCATGATAAATATTTGGGCCTCCCCTCTCTGATAGCCCGTTCCAAAGTGGCTACTTTCCGCTACCTGGAGGAGAAGCTGCTGGCTAGATTGCAGGGGTGGAAGAGGAGGACATTGTCATGGGCGGCAAAGGAGACACTGATTAAGTCAGTGGCTATGGCTTTGCCCCTGCATGTCATGTCCTGTTTTAAGCTACCTCTGGCTCTATGCCGCCTCCTGGACAAGCATGTAGCCCGTTTTTGGTGGGGGGTCGAGGAGGGTAAAACTAAAATTCGGTGGATTTCTTGGAAGAACTTATGTAAAAGCAAGCTTGAAGGGGGTATGGGTTTTAGACGTTTTGAGCTGTTCAACCAAGCTTTGCTGGCTAAAATTGGTTGGCGTATTCTTACGGAGCCCCAGTCTCTTCTCTCTCAGGTGTATAAGGGCAAGTATTTCCCCAATGGGTCGTTTTTGGAGGCTCGGGCCCGCTCTCGTCCCTCTTGGGGGTGGCAAAGTATCCTCTTTGGCCGTCAGTTGTTGGATTCTGGGCTGCGATGGCAAGTTGGGAATGGGCAGAAGGCACCTCTGCTTTCGTCTAGTTGGATTCCCCAGCAGCATCCTAACCATCCTGTTTATAACCCATGTGTGGTTCCGGATGGGGAGGTTTTGCTGGTGGAGGAGGTCCTCCACCCGGGCGAAGGGCGCTGGAATGATCAAAAGCTTAGTCAATGGTTTGATCCAGATACCTGTAAAGCCATTAAAGCCATCCCTCTGCCGCGCCAGAATATTGAGGATAAATTGATTTGGCACCCGACTTCTGATGGTATGTTCTCAGTTAAATCGGCATATTATGTTGCGGTGAATTTGGATCGTCAGAAGGGGCGATGGAGAGCCTTGGCTAGTTGGATGGATAAGCCAAGTTGGATCAGGTTGTGGGAAGCGGATATTCCTCCGAAGCTTAGGGTATTCGTTTGGCAAATCTTTCATAGAATCCTTCCTACTACAGAAGCGCTGCGTGAAAAGAAGGTGGACGTTTTGCCTCGGTGCCCGGTATGCTGGGCGGCATCGGAAACTCTTGAACATATGTTCCTTGATTGTCCGGTGGCTCGTGCAGTGTGGGAGCATTCGGGGCTTGCCGATGTGGGTGAAGGGTTACCTCGCCAAACGTTCCCGCTCTTCCTAAGGAAATTGCTGGCAGTGGTCCAGAGTCCTGCTATGGTGATGTCTATAGTGGCGGTACTGTGGCGGATTTGGCGTTCCCGAAATTGGGTGGTCTTCGAGGGTAAACAGTTCGGGATCCCTGCCTTGATGCGGCAATTCAATCAACAAGTGCAGGAGTGGCTAAGCTTGCCCCGGAACTGGAGTAATCAGCTTGTTACCCCCCGGGCCCCTGCATCGGTGCCTTCTGGAGCCGTAACGGCAATTTGTATGTGGGATGGGGCTGTACGGATGGGGTCTCATGCGGCCGGGGGGATGGTTATCCTGAATTCAGAGAGAGCGGTCATTCTCGCGCAAGGGGTTCATTTCCCGGATCTTGGTGACCCAAGCATATCTGAAGCTCTGGCGCTCCGGGAGGCGATTAGCTGGTGTCTCGCGAATGGTTTCACTAGCGTGAGGTTTGAAGGTGATGCCCAGGTGGTAATTGATAAGATTCTTCGGCGTGATACTCGAGACACTCACATGGGAGCAATTTTGGAGGAGATAGTTAGATCTTTTGCTTCTAATGTAGGTTTCTCTGTTCGATTTGTAGGTCGGCGTAACAATAGGGTTGCTCATTTGGTAGCAAGAAAAGCCCTGGCCTTGTTCCCGACTGCATGTCGTTTGTTTGATTTCCAGACCTGGCTGAATTCCAGGATGTACTGATCTATTCATTATTAATCTATTGATTATCTTTTGTCAAAAAAAAAAAAAAATATTCGCAAGAACTTTGATGCAAGCATTGTAAAACCACACTAGAAAAGTCAACGATAGGATATATTTTTTACTAAAACTGTAATTTCACCGTGATTCAACTGCATCATACCACTAGAACCGATAACCGATCTAAGATCTGATACTCGATAGTTCCAATCTGACTAAGTGGCAGGGTACGGTTTCTGAAACTTTAATTTATTGTCTGTTTTTTTTCCCCCTCCTCAACCTTTTAAAGTAAAAAATAATTAGGAGGAAAATTTTTTTTAGAGAAGACAACATGACTTTCTCATTAATCATTGCTCATCTCCTTCCCCAATCCCACTCTCCATATATACCCCTCTCTTCTCCACTTCCCACTTCAAACCCCAACTTCCTCAACCCCTTCTTTAATCAACCTTACCCTCTCAACCCACAAAAAAAAAAAAAATGGCGAAAGACGTGGAGGCAGAGCAGCCGGCGGCGCCGGAGTTCTCCGCCAAGGACTACCACGACCCACCGCCGGCACCCTTAATCGACCTCGACGAGCTCACCAAATGGTCCTTCTACCGCGCCCTGATCGCCGAATTCATCGCCACACTCCTCTTCCTCTACATCACCGTCCTCACCGTCATCGGCTACAAGTCCCAGACCGACCCCTTGGTCCACACCGGCGCCGACGCCGCCTGCGGCGGCGTCGGCGTCCTCGGCATCGCCTGGGCGTTCGGCGGCATGATCTTCATCCTCGTCTACTGCACCGCCGGGATCTCCGGGGGCCACATCAACCCGGCCGTCACTTTTGGGCTCTTCTTGGGCCGCAAGGTGTCGCTCTTGCGGGCCGTGGGCTACATGGTGGCCCAGTGCTTGGGTGCCATCTGCGGTTGTGGGCTCGTCAAGGCCTTCCAGAAGTCCTACTACACGCGCTACGGCGGTGGGGCCAATGAGCTGGCGGCTGGGTACAATAAAGGCACCGGATTGGGCGCCGAGATTATCGGGACATTTGTTTTGGTCTACACCGTGTTCTCGGCCACTGATCCTAAGAGAAGCGCTAGGGACTCCCATGTTCCCGTAAGTATTTGTGACGACGATTTGAGCTTACAGTCGTGTCGATATTTCGTTTTACGACGAATTTTTGATCAATTTGGGTGTGAACTGACTTTTTTTTTTTGGAATGGGGAATGTGAAGGTGTTGGCGCCGCTTCCAATTGGGTTCGCGGTGTTCATGGTCCACCTGGCGACGATTCCAATCACTGGGACGGGGATCAACCCGGCTAGGAGTTTTGGTGCTGCTGTTATCTACAACAAGGACAAGGCATGGGACGATCAGGTTTGTGTCCACTTTCATATTTAGCGTTTCGGTTTAAATCGAACCCAAATTTCATAGTCCTGACCCGGATAGAACCGACTCGGATATCTGACCATTTGAGTCGAACCCTGGACGAGATAGTCGAATTCAATACTACCCTTTTTCATATACTTTACCATGAGTGGGAAATTTTGGGGATTAATCAAGTAATTTAATGGGGATTTTGACTGGAATGCAGTGGATCTTCTGGGTGGGACCGTTCATTGGAGCAGCCATAGCTGCGTTCTACCACCAGTTCGTGCTGAGAGCAGCAGCAATCAAGGCTCTGGGTTCCTTCAGGAGCAATGCCGGAAATTGATTTACGTTAATTATCATGAGGGGGAAGCATGAAGCTGGTTGAGAAAGAATAAGGTGTCTGCTCTGCTGCAAATTTGAAGAGAGGAAGAAGAAGAAGAAGAGGGCAAGGGAAGTGTAAATAAAAAGGGGTGAAGGAGAAGAGAGATGTGATGTTTCAACATTAGGCTTGAATTCCCCTCTATTGCTCTATTTGCTTTCCCCTTGTTTTTTTACCTTTTCTATAATCTGTACTTATTATTATCTCTTTGCTTTTGTTGTAATTTATTATCATGTGGAATTGTGGTGGTGGTGGGTGGGTGGAGGTTTGTTTGTGTGTATTTTCTGGTTGGCTTCCACCTTATCAAATTTCTAGTGAAATGGGTCTTTTCCCCCTCTTTATTTATCTATGTTATCTACTTTCATATGAAATCCTGGAGAAAGGGGAGAAGAAGAAGGTATCATTTGTGTTGAGTGTGGCTAAGAGGTTTGGAGTGATTTCTAAGTGATCTCATTATAATTTGAAAAGTTCTATTTATTTTGATGTAAAAAAAATGAGATGAGCTTCATTTTACGACAATCAAGATGTAAAATTCGACTGTTCATACTGTTGTATAATTCGATGCAGCCAATCCAACCTACTCCACTACGAGTCTACAACAACATTCTATTTGGAAATGGAATCCATAACAAACTTTATATATTCTATACAATTTGATAGATATATCATCTTCTCAGAAAGCTCAACTTAATTAAGAGATGTGCTCAAAATGATAAACTAATTGCAAACACACTTTTAAGTTTCTCAACACCTAATCCGAATATTCCAATGAAGATGGGTATCTTACGAACATTTTTAATAGAATAAGTGGAGGGATGAGAATAAATCACCATAATAATGCCAAAAATGTAGGGGGGAAAAATAAGGAGCATATGCATGTCATACCCAAGTGAGGATACCATTCAGTTCGATGCAGAAGCGAACCAATTGAGATAGGATCGATTTAATAGCATGTTTGGTTCATACGGTTTTATTTGATTCATATCATTACTAGCAATAAGATAAAATTTATATATTCAAATCGATCCAAATATCGATTCGGTATGATTTTTGATCCGTCATGAATCAGATCGTTACCCAACCCTGGTCACATCCAAAACCATAAACGAAAGGGGCATGTCAATTTAATTAATGAGAAGAATTGTGAGTAAACAAATGACTCTTTTTGGTGCCCTAAGCAACATAAACTAAACCACGATGAATAAACAAACACTAGAAAGGACCGACAAAGTGACAAATCAATTAGCTTCGGACAAGAAAAATAGCAACCCTACTACTACCGCAAAAGAATTTAATTAGACTAGCTAGAAAACATAAACGAACAAAAACCTAACCACTAATCTCCCGCATATAGGTGTTTAGGAAGTCCACCCCTACAAATTTACACCATGTTTCCGCATCAAACTTGGCCACAAATTATTTAGGTCATTATAATATTTGAAAGGTTAGTTGAGTGAGAGAGCATCCTTATCCACAACTTGGATTAAAGAGCTTAATTAATTATCATAGCCATTAAGTAAACAACTCTTTACATCTCTTTCAATATGCTTAATAGTGATCACGACCGTTCATTAAGAAAATAGTAATCACGACCGGCTTTATAAAGGAGTTGGTTTAGACGGTGAGGTGGCGGTTTTGTCATGGTGGTTCGAAGAAGAAGAAAAAAACAACAACATTAGTTTTCAAAGGTGGACGGTGTTTTTGGATCTAATAGTGATGGCTTTATTACTGTTCTTTATATTGGGTTTTAAGATATATATATATATATATATGGTGAGTTTGCATTTTACTTCGAATAAATATGAGGGTACGACGTGTTTTTAGTAAGAAGATGATATATAAATTTAAAAGTAATCGAATTATAAAATGTGATATTATATCATAAGCCCTAATGAGTACTATATACGGCCCTCTAACTCTCTAAATTGTACATTCTAAGGACAATTACTTAGAATCAATAATTGTTAGAGAGTGGTATAAGATCCAGCATAACCTTCTCCCAACAACTCGAGTTATTGGGACCAACTGATTTATGACATGGTATCAGAGTCTAGATGATACGCCCCGGGGAGGGTGTATGTTATCAAAGTGCAGCTAACGATTCAATCGAAGGATCGATTGAGCTCGAATCAAGAACGAAGCGTTCTTAATACGAACTTGGATAAAACGGAACCAAAAGGACAAATCCACACCTGGGGATAGCTCGATTGGTATAAAAGGGTAGTTTCTCGACCACGATTGAAGTGACTATTCAATCGATACACAAGCTCAGCAAGTTTGGAATCCACCAAACCCAAAACAAGTCGCAACTTGCACAAACCAAACGGTTCTCAATTTCGATTAATCAAAGTCTTAATTTTACAACGAAAATAGAAGGCTATTTATAGCCAAGAAAACCTAATACAAACCTAGATGAACGAGGAAACAAATAAGGTAAAATTCTACTCTAAAAAGGACACAAAATTCGGATTTAAACTTCCTTTCTTGAAGCACAAGTAAGCTGCCAGCAAACAGTCAAAATGCAGCTTTCGTACTAACTTCACGCCTTTCATTCAAGGCCTTCCCGAGCTCCAATTCTTCATCCAATTCCTTCCCTTTGTTCACAAACATACCTAGTTTTATGTTGAGGAAGCCTTTGGACTTGAATCAGATGCATACTCCTCGAATCGAGCTCCAAAGTAGGCTTCACAAAACAGTTTTCTGCCTTAGTCATTTTCTGGCAGTTTTCCAGTTTTGAGGTAGCAACTTTGAGGCCTTGGAAAACAATCTTAATGACATCATCTGGCTCCACAAAACATATCATTGGAAACATGAAGACTTTATCTACAAAACAAAACCTTAACCTTGAATTTTCACCAAACCAATTGAGAGAACCGTGCCTCCAAAGTATGTACCCTGAACACGGATTTTGACTTAGCCAAATTCTGTCTTTCTTCTTCCCAACTTTGTTAGCTTCTTTGTCAATTAATTTTGACGTGTATAGTTGGCCATTTGGGATCATATCACTAGAACCGAAAGGTCATGTGTTCGAATCTCCACGACCCCCAATATTAACCGTTGTCTTTCAAGCACATGATATGGTGGGCATGTGCAAACTTCAAGTCCATGGGTTGGCTTTCGTTTGAGGGAGCATGTTAGAGAGTGGTATAAGATCCAGCATAACCTTCTCCCAACAACTCGAGTTATTGGGACCAACTGGTTTATGACAATAATCCGCGGTTCTAATTCGTCCAAACACATGCAACGTATCAGATGCGCCATCTAATTAAAGTTTTACAAAGTGGTGTTTAGAAGATTAAGGTTCACTCATTAAGGATTAGAGTATAGTATCACACCCTAGAATTCGGTTAATTCAATGTCTAAATAGTATTGTTTTTTACTTAGAGTATGCAATACCCTTAGACTTAACGAACAATAGAAGTTACCATTAGCAAATTTGGAGGTTTCAACTTCAAGTTGAACAAAAATGTCGAGGTGAATCAAATATATATTCTCCCATTGGCAAAGACCGGCCCAATGAAGTTTAATACTCTGTCACAAAATTTACCTCACGATAAACATACTCTAACGAGCATCTTGTTTTTGCGTCAAATCGTGTAAAAGTAAAAGCGTATGAACTTTACAATCTCGATAACGACAATGAGATATTTGATTATAAAATAGTATGTCAGCATCACAACCTTCCTAGGCCAAATAATTTATTTCGACCTAATGATAATTTTCTTTGCATTATCATCTTTGTTATTATTCATTAGCTCTAGGTATAGTGTCTTCTTGATGTATAGTGGCTTTATTTATACTACTCCACAAAACTCCATGATGGTGCAAGGTTACACAATAAGTTATTTCCCCTTTTTTATGGGCTCGAAATTCTTCTCTTCTAGTAAGATGACAGATGATGAGATCATTAGCTTAGAGAAAATGTTATATTATTCCTAATTAATCCAAAAGGATAAGAGGTGTATAATCAATAATATCTTTTACATCTTTGGTTACTTTAACTATTATTAATCATTATTAATTATTATGACTCTAATTAAATAATAATTACGACCTTTGATCCAATATATTCATAGAAATAATAATAATTCCAAATTTTAATAATACCGATTGGGCCATGCGTGGTATTACTCATGGGTTTTGCACGTATGGAGCCCAATAATTAAATAACTAGCAATTGCCTTTGCCTTTCTTATCGAGCCCAAAAATGAAAATGGGCCTCCAAGAGGCAAAAGTTGGTAGGTAGCAAGGGGATCGAACGAGTGTACACATGATACATGATCACATGGGCCTGGTCTGGCAAGAGATATGGACCAAATGAAGGAGTGATTAGTCCTACAATCCAATAAAGAGGAATTTCCTTGTTCATGAGAATAGAAATTGTCATAATGTTAATCCCATTAAATTATCCAATGGTTGGTTATTTGTTGCATTGTGTGAGTGTTTTGTGTTGAGGGTTAGTCACTATTGTTTGAGGTGAATGTCCTATTAGTATGTATAAAGACGAGGAGTGCTTATCTTGGTTGAACTCGATTTAGTTCATGATCTATTATATTTATTTCTCGATCATTTAGACATGAAAAAAAAATTAAAAAAATATAAATTAGATTAGAAAAACTCGATACCAATCAAATTATCCATAAATTCAGTAGGATCTGAACTCATGTGAATTTGATCTTATTCGGTCTCATATCATCGATTCTTTTGTCTACCCATAATATGATACATATAAACAGTAACATTCAACTCGAGCAATATCGTTAAATAGTAACAAAAATTTGAACCCAATACCACAAGATTGTGTGTATTTTGGTGAGGCCTAATAAAGAAACACCAAAATATGAAACCAAGGCAAAAAAAAAAAAAAAAAAGATTTCAAAGAGTGGGGCATGTCATGTACTAATTTACCTAGAGAGAAAGATATTATGACTTGTAATGGATTGGGGAATGTGGGGATGAAGAAGAAGAGAAAAAGGAAAAGACATTGATTTCAGTAGTAGCATGCTTCTATTCCTTCCATCCCATCTCCCTCTCATTGCAATCATGTTGAAAAACTAGCCCACCCCTCTCTCATGTTGCTTTGCTGCCCCTCTAAGCCAAGCAAACTTTTAACCAAGGTTGTCAACCCGCGGGTTGACCCGGACCCGGTCGAGCTAGTGGGTCAAGGGTTAATGGGTCAACCGTTTTAGCCCGGTTTGGCCCGGAAATATGGAAAAAGTCATTATATTGTACTTATCCTCATAAATTATATCAAATTTTATCTAACATATGAGTTATAACATATAATATTACACCAAAATAACATATCGTACTTAGATCTAACATATAATGAAAATTCACACACACTTATATAACATAAATATTCAAATGTTCAACTTAGGATGCCAAAGATTGAGTTGGGCGAAAAGAAAAATCGGAAAATAGGCGCATTTCGAAAATCAAAGGAAAAAATGACACAATTTGACCTCCAACCCGGTACCTTATAGCGGTCGGCCCGGCGGGTGCGTGCGGCCCGTTTTTCTCATCGGGTCAGGGTCAAATTGGGTCGACCCGAGGGTCAACCCGCGGGTTGACAACCTTGCTTTTAACCCAACACAACAACAAATTTCTTAACTTTTTGTTATCTCAACAAAGTTTTTACCTTAACTTTTTACAATCTATAGAAAGACACTCCCCTTTAGAACCATGATGATCTTATATTCTTTCTATAAGATGCATACTTAATTGAATCCACCAACTCTTAATTGGCAAACATTAATATAATATGATGTGAATGAAAAGCATATACATAGTGATTGGAAACATGTGTGTTACTTATTAATGAATATTCCTTACTTAATGAAAAAAGAGGGGTTTCCACATGGTTGCATGATGTGGTTTAAGTTGGTGTAGTACTTGCATTCCAATGCAAGTTTTGATTAATTTACAGTTATGGGTCATGATTTTGCACCAATTATGATGTGTTTCTAGCAATGAGTTCGATTTGTTTGGGTTGTGGGGGGAGAGATCTTTCCTTGGATAATGGTTCTCCTTTATCTCATGTATGTGTTGGGAACTTGGGTGTCTGAAGAAAGAATAATAAATTTTAATCTTTGTAGTTTATGTAGGAAATTAGTAATGAAATTTTTGAAACTGAATTGATTCTTGATGTGATATCTTATCAATTTTCTTGATCCGACAATATCGTGTTAAGACCCTGTAGTCTCCAATATTAACCTTTAAGTATTGAAGCATAATCTATGTATGTCATCATGACATGTACAAATTTCAAATATGTAAGTTGGCCTTCATTTGAAAGGAAGCAAATAAGCAGACTATACAACGATCGATCCATCATCTCTTCTACTAACTCGATTATCAGAATGATCCCGATTATTGTCTATTTACCCTCTCCACCCTTTTCTCTTATGTGCTTTAGAAGGCACTCAAGGATAATGATGCATCATAAACCATGATTTTGAAAGATCCATCATGCCAAAACTCAAGGGAAAACCAAGTAGTGACTCAAGGATAATGATGCATCATAAACCATGATTTTGAAAGATCCATCATGCCAAAACTCAAGGGAAAACCAAGTAGTGACTCGACTAGGAAATAATCAATGCAAACCATATTGCTATTATAGTTAGGGTAATGAGAGGCTATCCCCTATGGCTGATATTGTACTACAAGTAACCACAAAAGTCACTAATTAGCCAGCTGATGGTGAACTATGATTCACTTAAACCGTATTTACAACTCAAGATAGTCATATTTTATCGAAACACTGGACAATATATATAATTTTGATAATTATGATTATCGACTCGATCATCGTAACACGTGAGTCAAGATGGAACCCCGTCATTTCGAAGAAGCTCCCAGTAAGGAAGAAGAGGGGGAAAAAAGTATCGTGGTGTATGAGATGTCAAGAAAAGGGAATGATCAATGTTCATTACTACGACCCATGGGAGGCATATTGCCTTTCTTGGATGCACTTTTCCTAACAAACGATGATATTACTTGCCTTTGGGAAGGGAGGATTAAACAGGGGAGCTATCACTTCTTCTAGGGCAAAGGAGAGGAATAATATGTCATAATAAGCACATTCATGATTCTGTTCCACTCTTTTTCAGTCCCATTTACTTCTCCTTTCTTTCATTTCCAATGAAAAATACTGCATTTATTAATGAAAAAAGTTAAACCACTTTACATTAATATATTTTTTCTAAATTTTATTTTTACAACCAAACAACTCGAAAACACAAACCAAATGTGCAATAAGATCGATGATCTAGAATCAACAAGGTGTGAGAGCTTTCATAGCTCGAGATCTGACAATCCAATCGACACGATAATTAATCGATCGTGGGGCACAAACAAATGAGGTTCGTGGAATTCTGGATCTCGTTCACGCAAAGTATCGAATTGTGACGTTCCTTAACAATCGTCCGGAATCGAGTGGACGATGGGCGATAGATTGTGAGTCAGAGCAGCTCTCTCTCAGAGAAAAAAAGAAAAAAGAAAAAAGGGACCCCATATTTTCGCTCCGGCAACCGTTGATAAATGAAGAACGAATTTGAAATCCAACCACATAGATCGATTTCCAAACATATAATAACTACAAAATTTCGAATTTCACGAGATTTTATAATTTATTTTGTAATTGTGAAACCAAACCCATGATAAAATGCAAAAAGAAATAACTTTATACACTAAAAACCTCCCAAATATGAATCTATAGTGATTGATTCATACTTTTAACCCCCCAAACAACCACATGACTCACTCTGCCTCTCCTCCTCCTCCCCCTATAAATTGCCACTACCTCCAAAAACCCTTACCCCAAAACACAAGAAAACTACTTCTTCTTGCTCATTCTCCTCCTCCTAACCAAAACCATGGCACCACACTCTGCAACCTCCATCCTCATCCTCCTCATCACCATCTTCATCTCATCCTCTCCAACCTTCATCACCAGAGCCAGAGCACAAGGCAGGGCGCCCCACGGCCTGGCCTACGAGGGCCCCGTCGCCTTCTCCCCATCAGCAGTCGAGTTCTTCCACCCCAACAACAACAACAACCAGCAGCTCCCCGCCGTCACCAGCGGCCACCCGGAGGCCGCTCAGCTCGCCGCCGCGGCAAAGACCAGCACCACTAGTACTCCCGACGAACAGAGCAAAGTGGCCAGCTCGAGGTCCGGCCAGAGTGGCGGGAGGAGTGGGCTGGGTGCAGGGGCGATTGCAGGGATTGTGTTTGGAGTTGGGTTTTCTGTGTTCATGGCCATGGGTGCGTTCTATGTGGTGAGGGCTCGTAGGGCGAACTTGAGCAAGGCCAGCAACTCTGTTCAGCCACAGGTTTAGGGTTGGGGGGTTAAGTGTGGGATTAGTTAGAGCAATATGTATGATTAGGTGTTGGGGATGGTTTCATTAGTGTTTTTTTGTTGTGTTGATGGGGGTTAGGAGTGAGGATTTGGACTTTGGTGCCACAAATCAATGTTGTTATCATGATCTACCTACCATATATGTAAGTGTGTTCGGATGATTTCGTGTGTTATTGTTGGACGCGAACATATGATCGACTCCTGGCTGTCCCGAATCTCTGAAGAAACATAGAAATTGTCAAAAAAAAAAAAATGATGAACAAATGAGAGCCATGATAATCAAACTGCATTTTTATTGAATTGAACTTGTCGTTTTTCTTTGTTTCAAAACAAATGTGAAAATGCGAACCAAGCAAAATCGAGAATTTGAAAACATTTAAACCAAATGATTCGTTTTGATGCAACATAATACAAATTCAATTAAGATGTTAATTCGATATAACAAACCCTATTCGTGATCGATAGTAATTGAAGTTTAGAACATGATTCTATTAGCAGAAGCCACCGACGTTTTATCTCACCAAAAAAAAATACTTTCAACTTTTCTTTAGGTAGACAACATGACACGAAATGGACAACCTAACCTATATTCATGATGGAACCGAACTCGATGACGGAAAAAAAAAAGAACAACTAATCGAGTAAAAACCGAACATAAGGATGTGTCTCTCATTCCATTTGTAAGGAAATCTGCCATGTAATTGTTTGTCACAATAGACACGAGTGATTCTAACATTCCAACCCGTACGAGAGCAAGCTCAAAACACTCCTTCAAGTGCAATGCTCGACCAATTCAACACAAGTGTTCATGGAGGGCATAAAAACCAGCTTCAAAATTTTCAGTTGCCTCATCAAACGGCCACCCAGCCTACAGTGGCAACTAGCAAGAAGATATATCCAAAGAAACGGCAACAAACGAAAGTCATCGCCTCATGGGTGCTAATTTTTTTTTTTGACAGTATTGGGTCTAAATTTTGGGATAGCTTCGTTGGCTCCAAATCTTTAGCTTCACGACAGAGCACTTCTTATCTTCTTACTACCAACGGTTATGGGCTGTAACATGCTAACTAAAAAACACATTGTCCCCTTTAGTTTCTGCTGCTTTCCTTTTCATTCACGGGATTTCCAGGGAGGCAGAGGCGTATATCAACATCATCAAAGTCATTGATTCAGCCACGTATACAGAGTAACAAGCAAGCAAGTGAAGTTTTTGAGTGGTACAGGATCCACACCCATGATAAAATGAGGATTAGGAGACAAAAATTGCACGCATGTTCTTAGAGTGTATCATAAGAGTTGCCAAAATGATGTATAGAATACCATATCACAAACTTGTTCAACAATTTTACTCTCTGTGGGAACTAAGGGCGGAAACGAGCGGACCGAACGCCTGGTCCACGGCTTTGTTCCATAGGAGGGCAGACTCGGAACGGAATTGCTTCCCCAGAATCGGCTCCTTCATCTGCAACAAGTGCAAAGCCATGAGGAAAACAAGCTCAGTCTCTCGTCAGTTTTGTGTATAGAGTATATATATGTATATATGCGTACATTGCACTTATCGCGGCGATGGATCAAATACTTAGCTGCTCTCAGAGGGTTGCAAATTGATGATGCTAGAGGTAGTTCCAGTGCTAAAAGAGACTCAATCAATCAGCCAAAGAAAGCAACAGACAGCTCATTATCCTCCCATATCTCTGTCTTTTTCTTACAATGGTTTTGGTTTCAGAGGATGAACATTTTCCATTCATGTCCCTACCTGGGATATATGGTAACTCTATCCAAACCACCACATTGATTCTGCTATCTCTTCAATCACTCATACTCTCACATGCTATTTTCACCTTAACATGCTTAGACATGCTAGAATGCCATCATCCACCACAAGAACGAACCACGACATCGCTCCAATGAGGTCTTACATACAAGGGTTTCGAACACTTCTCACCTACATTTACCAAATTGCATGATATCTAGCTACCCTTTCCAGATACAAATGGAACAGAACTACATAAAGAACCAATAAGAAACCCCCTACACATACAATGGCAACACCTAGAGAAAGACATCATCCCTCAGCTGCATTCACATCCAGCTAGTATACAACTACACATTGTTCAGTAATCAGCTAAACCTTGAAACTCACCCCTCAATCTTCTCCTAGCAATGAACCGACAAAGATCACATTGGATTCTAGGGTTATGGGCAGGACAAATGAGAATCAGTTGGAAATAAAGTTGCAAGCTTTACCTGTTTCTCGGCATCGGATGGAGATTGGTAGGCTGAAATTGAGTCGTGGATTCGCCTTCGCTGCTCAAACACCACGAAACCGGTGAAAGCCCCGCCTAATGCGAATCCGAGCAGGCGCTCCTGCAGCAAGGAAAAAAGATATAACTCATCGGCAAAGAATCGTGGCATCAAGAGGGTATATAGGCGGAGAAAAGTTGCCGGAGAATTGGTGTTCACCTGAGCGAGAATGCTGAGCATCGTTTCGTCTGCGACGAGATTCCGGCGCGTGGTTGATGGATGGTCTCTCTCAAGAGTCTCGGCGTGGAAGGAAATCGGGGGTGGAAGAAGGAAACTTCGGGGCTCCGACTAGTCCGCCTGAAAGGCCACAAGCGATTCGGTTACTTTCTCCGGCCTGTAACAACTTTTTTGACAAAGCTCAGGTTGGAGCACGGCCCGTTGAGTTTTCCACTGTTGTGGGCCGGTATAAGCCCATCTACGACGGGCTTTATCGATTTGTTTTGGATTTGCGCACCTCAATAGCCCAAAAATTGACATATTTCAATTTGGTTCAAATTCATATTAGTCCTTAGGAATGGCAATGGGGCAGGTCCGGGGCGGGTTTCTTGGTACCCAGACCCGCCCCGTGGCAGGGCGGGTCCAGGTCGGGTAATTGACCACGGGTCACGGGTCGGGGCAGGTCGACCTAATGGGTGTGCAATTTATTTGAAAAACATTAGAAATATTCGTTATTTTTATTATAAAAGTAAGAAAATAAACAATATTATGACAATTGTAGTTAAATTATTGTTGAAATTGAGGTTTTCACTAATTTACAACTTTATTATAGCTAAAATATGATGCGATTAAAGTAACATTCATAGTAATTTGACTAAGATTTCATGTAATTTAGACAAGAACGGGTCGAGAATGGGGCGGGTCAGGGCAGGTCGGGTCGATGAGACTACCCATGCCCGCCCCGCCCCGCCTACGGGGCGGGTCAGACCCGCCCCAAAACAGGTCAAACAGGTCGGGTAAAACGGGTCAGGTCGAAATTGCCATCCCTATTAGTCCTCCCTGAGAATTAAATCGAAATCCAAAGGGAAAGAGGAGAATGAAAATTTGATTAGTAAGAGGCGAGAAACACACTATTGAGGCTACACACAAAGACAAATAATAATATGACATGACGGGTTTTAGTGACGTGACAAGTCTTATATATATTTTTTCGGGTTAAAATAGGGCGATTGGATATTTCTGTTAGCCGCATCAACAAAAAAACTAACGCAATTAATGAAAGGTAAGAGAGAGTGACCAAACTTGAAATATTAAACTAAGTTTAGTGACCACGAATGAAATAAAATATTTTTAGTGGGAAAACGCAAAACTTTATATTACCAAATTTGCAATTTGCTCCCAAAAGATTAACATTAGGGAGAAATGTGTTTAAGGAAGTACGATAATAATCACTACCATTCTTGTCGAAAACTAATAAACTATACAAGCCATAAACATTAATATAAAATTCACAATAATATTCTTATACCAAATTAGATATGAACAGCCTGTACTAGTTTAAGCATAATATTAAAAACCGATTTCAACTTTAAGGATATAAAACCCAGAGCAGAAGAAATTAAACATGAAGCAGCGCTTTAAACCACATCAAATCAACTTCGTTTCGATTCAAGTCATGATATCATACTAATCTGCAACCATTCAGGTACGTAAATCAACTAAGGTCCAAAATGATATTCCAGTTGAAACAATTTCAAGTTGAAATCTTCCTTTGTGAGTATGGTACCATTGTTACGCATTCTCAGTTAGTTAAACCTTGTATGAACATAGTAGCATTTTCTATAGTCTCTTTACCTATAGTCTATGCACCAAAGCTCTAGAGACAAAGTTAAGAGCCCAAGTGAACAAAACCAGAGGACATGTAGCAACACTGGAAGAAGAGAAAGGACTAAGGAGAATAGGAGATTAATGGAAGAGATGATGGGACATGTGAATTCAAGGGGCTCCTCCTATCATGTGACTCACTCTCTGTATTTTGACACAATGGTCCCCCAAATGGAGCAGCTCCCTCTCCATCCATTCTCTGTCTCTTTCCCTTCCAGACACAGACAGTGACAAAAGGTTGCAGGGAGGGAACCAAAAATCTCTTTCGTCCAGCAATCTTTGATTACGACCCATCAAACACCACCCCCAAATTCCCTTGCCACCATTATTATCACTAGAAAAACCCTGTTCATATATAGTACCCACAAATTAAATGACACTTCCATTCATGAAAATGGGTGTTCTTTCTCTGCCTCTGCATGCACGTTAATGAGCTTCTCCCACAACTGTTCCAATCCCAGTTGACGACTTCTTGTGCTTGATGATGGGTAACAGGGGAATCATTGTTATTTTCACCAAAGCTTTTGTCTTTACTACCACTGTTTGGTTTTCTGCTTGAATGGAGGGGGGTGACATTAAATGTTATGTGTATTCAATTGTGGTTTCATGTGTTGCTTTTCTAGGAAAATTTAGTTTGCTTAAATGCTTGTACCTGTAAGAGGAAACCCTCCCCCACAACCTATCTCAAACTGTTCAATAAGATATATCTAGCTGGTTTATGCATGCAAGCTGTTTGCTTCATTGCCTGAATGAAAAAGTTGGGCGAGTTTCTGTCTTCTGCAGCAGCTTTCGCAGTTGGATTTTAATGGTACCACTCAGATCTTTTTCTCTCTCTCTCACAAGCTACACTTAATGGGGGGTTTTTGGTTGTTTTCTGGGAAGTTTGGTTTATTCTTACATTTGTATATGTAAGTGACGTGATATATGGAGAGGGGTTGGGGAGGGACTTCTTCACTTGGAACTTTGTGGCAGGGGTGAAATGAAAACATGTCCTGTCGTTGTTACTCATTTTGCCTTCTAGTTGAAATTGTTCTGCCTTTGTTGTTTCATGGAATCTAAAATTCCCAGGTTTAGCTGCAAAAGGTCACAAAAGTTATTCACTTTGTCATGCACATGATGTTTGGAATCATTTGTTTGAGCTTTCTGTCGAGCTGAAGGAGAGAGAGAGAGAGAGAGGGAAAGAGAGAAATGACCATACGACTGCTTGCTTATCATGGCCTCTAAGGTACTTTTTGTTCAAAAGCAGCAGGTTGCAGATGGTTTTATTTAGAAGGCAGTGTCTTGGATTGACATTGCTAAAGCAGTGATGCTTTTTCTAAGATTAGGCCTCTCGGTTTTGGAGATCTTTCATGGGAACTAAAGGTTAGCTGTGGTGGGCTGCCTCAGTTCTCAACCAATACATTGGTGTCTGGCAAGACTCATTTTTTCAGGTTTTCGAAAAGTTTGCAGATTCTTTGATGGGAATCTTTAGGGATTCGCAATTTGGCTTCTTTCTGCCAGATGGAAATTTTTCCGGTCTTTGGAGAAACAAACACTTCCCTTGTCCTCTTCAAACTGGACAGCATTGATATGTGCCTTCCATTAACAGTGTTTACTTTATCTGCTTAGCTGGACTGAGCTGAAATGAAGGAAGGCACTGGAACATGATTCCTTCGTCAGGTTTCCAGCATGTAAAAAGTTCTCAGTAGCTTTGAATTTCCGCTCAGCCTTTTGTTCCTACCTATTCAGCTGCTCACCAATACTACGTTTGAAAAAAATCACCTTGAAATTTGTGCTACTTGAGTGCTCTCTCTTTCTTTTCAACAGTTCGTGGTTTAGCTGTTGCATAAGTTCCATCGTAGTCTTTTGCAAGTATGAAACTTGATATCCTAGGGGTCTTTTTTTCAACTCCCAAGTAGAATCTGAAGAGAATAAGAAAAGGAGAGTATTTGATTGATGTATTCAGTTGTTGCTTGACTTACATCCTTTAAGAATGTGCTTAGTTGGTATGCGTATTTCCCTGTAAAAAGATTAAACGGTTTCTTTGTTCTGGGTTGGTGAGGAATAGTCTGAGCTAGTGGAGCTCTTTTGAAGACTTTGTTGTTGCAGAGTTTTTGAAAGAGCATACCGATCATCAGAAGCTCTTAGTTACATGGCTGAAGTATGACTAACTGTTGATTGCTTCTTGGTGTGTTGCCAATCCATTCTTGTAGCATATTTGAACTTGATTTCCTACTTCCATACTTTCCGCAGGATCTGTTCAAGATCCATTGGCCATCTCAAAGTTCAAAGAGTTATGCTATTTGACCATGCAATTGCTCTGGTGGCTACATTTACCACTGCTTTTGCTGGTGCAACTCTTACATCTCTCAAGTACTGTTCGGATAAGGCATGGTTAGAATCTTTTAACTTCTCTTTGACTTCTCCAATTACTGCTTGTCTTAGCCAGATAGATCCTATTAGTTGATTTGAGTGACATGCTACAGTTATTTCTTGCTTCTAAACACAGCTCAGTTTATTTTGCTGCAGCTGAAACTTCGTTTGCTTGTGAGAGTACCATTTGCAATAACAAACAGTCCAATGGCTGGATGGAGGGATACCCATGTCTAAGACAATCAGCAAGTCGCAAGCATCGCCAATTTAAAACCCCAGGTGTTTTTCCTTTGTAAGCTCCCTCCCTCTCTTTCCTTTCACATTGGCATGTTAGATGTTTAGGTTCAATGGATTTTTACCAAACATATCATCCTTCCAACAAATAGACTTCAAAGAAACAGAGAAGCTATACCGGCTGCTCTTTCTTTGCTATACCTACTATGTGGATGGAACTCCCCTTTACTTCTTTTTCTGCATGGACTAGTTAGCATTTACTCATTGCAAGCAGCCTTTCCCCTTTTCAGTTTTGCATGGTTGATTGTTAGTTTTCCTGCTGCCCTTGAATATATAGGAGAAGGCTTTCTAACTATATGCTGCATTTTCTGATGTCTGATAGCTTATGTTCCAAGGAGTCAGCCCTGTCTGTTGCAGACTGGTTCAACCAAATTGTCACCTGTTTCTTCGCAATCTATTCCCTCAGGCATCCATTTAGGATTACAAGAACGGTTATATTTATTACATACTAAGAGGATAGCAAAGACAGTTGATGGATCCAATGGTGTTCCTACATTAACACCAGTGCAACCATATGATGACACAAAAGCATGGAAAAGGAAAGTTGCAGCCATAGCTGGAGGTGTTGGTGCAGTTCTTCTAGTAATTATCATAGTGGTAACTGTTTACTTGTGCATTAAGAAATTGGCAGCACAAACTTCTGAAAGGGAGTCCTCTGCACAATCTCCAAGTGAGTTTAGCATCATCCCAACATGAAAGTGGCTTGTTCAATTCTCCTTCTTTTTCACTGTTGGACTATGACTTTTCATTTACCATGGCTTGCTGTATTGATTTTTTTGGTTTGAGTTTCATCAATAACCTCTTTCTGTTTTTTTTGCATTCAGCAACAGGGTTGGAAATAGTTGGAACTCCCACTTATGCTAGTCCTCATCCTCCGGGCACACACTTCCTGAGATTATTGACAATTGAGGAGTTGAAGCTGGCGACACGAAGTTTCAGTGACAGCAATATCATAGGCGAAGGCTTGCTTGGTTTGGTTTACAAAGGACTGCTTCTTGATGGATCTATTGCTGTCATAAAGAGAAACATATATCATCCTGTTCAGAACTTTGCTAATGAGGTACTTGCAAACCAATAAAAAATTGATGTTTATCACACATAATAGTAAAAGCTCTACATCCTTATAGTTCTCCTTATGCCTGCAGGTTAGACACATCGCTTCCGTCCAGAACCAGCATCTTGTAAAGCTTATCGGTTATTGTGAGGATAGGCAGCAACAGTTTCTTGTAACTGAATACATATCCGATGGAAATGTGGGACAATACCTCTATGGTAATTCTCTCTGCCTCTCTCAAAACTGTTATAGTCTCAGTCATACCCATGTTAAGACTTCTCTGCTTTGGCCTTTCCTTAGATAGTGAAGGTCTGCCTGTTGGGAAATTGGGTATCAAGCGTAGACTGGCCATAGCCTTAGGTGCAGCAAAAGGTATGGCTCAGTAAACCAGTCCTAATATTTCCAGCTCTGTGGTCTCCTTTTTTTCTCAAATGTTTAGATCTTTCCTAGTTCCATTTCATTTCTTTTCTTGAATCAGGGCTTCGGTATCTTCACAGTTTGGTCCCTCCTTTCCTGCACATGCATTTCAGAACCAGCAATGTGCTTGTGGATGAAAATTTCACTGCTAAGGTATCTGACTATGGAATCTACAAGTGGGTAGCAGAAACTCCGCACCCGGGATCTTCTTCTTCTGTAGATCACTTCCTTGATCCCGAGTACGTGATTGCATTTCCTTCCTGTTGCTTCATAAAAAAAAAGATTGAAACTTTGCTGGCTGTGTTCCCTAATGCATTGCTCTGCATGATTGTTGTTCAGGTTGAATTCGTCGAGTGACTTCTCAGAGCTCAGTGATGTCTACAGTTATGGAGTATTCCTACTAGAGCTGATCAGTGGACGTGAAGCACATGGCAAGTATCAATCAAACTCAGACCAGAATCTATTGCTTCAGGTACATCTGCAGATAACTACTCGCAGCCAAACACAACTGCATTTTCCTGTTGTTGCTCACAAAGTGTTTTCCTTCTTACAGGCTAGGGATAGCAGCCTCAATGACTTCGTGGACAAGTCGCTCCAAGCTAAGGATCGAACGAAACGAATCATGGTGGATCTGGCATTGATGTGTGTGGATGTCAGCACAAGGAGACCTTCAATGGAGAAGGTTGTCAAAGCGCTTGAATGGATTCGAGGGCGGGAAACTGGGCATGTGGATTATGACCATGGTGAGGAGATTGGAGCTGTAAAACTTGGGAGTGAACTCTTCAAATGACCAGCCTTTATTTATCTCCTGTCTTTCTGTGTGTTTACATTCAACTGCTAATTAGTGGCATTCTTTATTGGACGTAATATAAGTAGCAAAGTTTAAGCCTTTAAGTCATTCATCAACTTGCAAATTGGTTCAGAGTTCAGACTTCATAGGAGATAGATTCAATCTGTCTGCCTTCCCCTTCAAGATTAAGGAATAGGGTTGACTAGTTTGTTTTAATTGTGATTAAGTGGTGTTTACTGAATAAAAAAGGATGGAGGCAATCGGTGGATGCAGAATGTGGCTTGAATTCTTCCTTTATTAGGTGTTGTTTGGCAGGCAGCCTAATCAGCCCACTATCAGTCTATCACAAAATGAAACTTCACAAGCAATACAATTTCAAAACATTAGCATTCATGAAATTAAATGGTTTATTATTATCGACCGAAAATAACGAGGTCGAATAAAGTAATAGAAGGTCATCTCGAGTTTGGCTCAAGTGAAAATGATCAAGCACAACCCCCAACTCGGCTATACAATAATAGTAGTGCTAAAAAGACACTAAAAAACTAGAAAAACGAGCAAACTTCAAAATAAACTTTTTAACAATTAGTATGTGAGAGCTCTGAACGAGTTAGCTGCGAACGAAGCTCAATGAACCACCAAACCAAATCAGCATAAAAACTTGACGAGCAGAACAAAACCAAAATCAAGTCTAATTCATTTACTAACAAGTAGAGCTGCAAATGAGCCGAGTCGAGCCGAGCTTTACCCCAATTTGAGCTTGACTAGTTAATAATCGAGTCGAGCTCGAGCCGTTTATTAGCGAGTTGAACCGAGTCGAGTTCGAGCTAGACTTGTTTACTAAATCTTAACTCATATTTGATACTTCGTTTAGAATATCATGTGATTGATGTCATGATGAAAAATAAATAGTAATAGTCAAATTTTCAATATTAACTAATCTCATATTAAACTTTGTTGGTAATCGATTCGCCCATAAGTCGGTAATCGAGTTGGCTTTGTAGCCACAATATGATACATCTCATGAGCTCTAAACGAGTCAGCTCACGAGTTTAGCTCAACAAGCCACCGAGTCGAGCTAGCTCGCGAGCTTCCCGAGGTGAACAGGGTTTAGCTCGTGCACGGGTAGTTAATAAACAAGTAGAGTTTCGAACGAGCTTTTCCGAGTCGAGCGTCGAGCAGCCCGGCTCATTTGCAACCCTACTTATCTCTCCATCTTCTTCGTGCTCTAATACTGTCGCCATAAAAAACCTTATTACCTTATCCATCTTTTGTTCCTCTTTCTTTTACTGGACGGCTAAACGTCGCCCTAATTTTACTATTATCGCCCTAATTTAAAATGTAGAATTACTAAATTATCTTTTTATTAATCAAACAAAATAATAAATAAACAAATCCTAAAATCTCTATTCCTCCAATACTGTCGACCACCACCTCTCCAATTACCCTCCCCCGCCGTCCTTTACACCCTTTTCCCGAATTCACCACCAGACACTCCTTCTCCCGCTATCGCTTCAAGTTTCAAATGTGCACAACTCAATCAGAAAAGTCGAACACTAAAATTAATAAGATTAGGGTACTGAAACATTAATCAATCGCGAGCCACCTCTAACGCAATCGATCCCATTCCGCCACCACCTCGCTCCCTTTCAATCCGGCCACCGCCCATGGAGCTTCAGGCTTAAAAGTCATTGAACCGCCATTATTGGGTAGTTAGTTCCTCACCACTTCACTAACCATTAAATTTCCATGTCCCGTCTTTTACTAAGTACTCTGGCCTTACCCAGATCGCTGATTGTTTATCCGAAGGGATGGTGAAGCTGTTGAGGCTTGAGTGCTGCTGACTCTATTTTGGCAATAGGCGAGAGAAAAGGCCTAGGGCAATTATATAAAATTAGGGCGACAATTAGCAACCCTCTTCTTTTATTCGTCTCCCAATACTGCAATCAAATCGAAATGAGGTCCAAGAAAAGAACTATGGCGGTCATGTGTTATGACGATCTATTGTGTTTTTTTATTAATTCAATAACGATTGGATTTTACAATTTGAGGATTGAATACGAGAATTGGTGATTGGAGATTTCCCTACTAAGCTGATATGTGTGTTAGTTATAGGGGAAAATTTTGAAGGTCATGATAATTGCAAACTAACATAGCAAGGGGTAAATTGGTATTTTAACCAAATGCCACACCAACAATTTCCACATTCTTTGACCCATCACAAACATGGATTTTGGACAATTTCCACTTGACAATTACTAGGCTTTCTATAAAATGGAAGTTAAGGTCAACTCCCACGTTTTCAGTAATGTTAAAATTTGCAGAAAAAATCAAAAGTTTAAGTATAATCCTTATTTAATAGGGGCAGAGTAACCGCCAAGCCGAAGGGAAAAAAAAATCCCTTCCTAAACCCTTTTAACATTTTTTCTAAAAGTCCTTCAATATTTTTATAGATTAATAAATAAATTAAATTAATGATGATGATTGCTTGCAGAACACGCCAGTCTAAAAGTCCTTCAATATTTTTATAGATTAATAAATAAATTAAATTAATGATGATGATTGCTTGCAGAACACGCCAGCTGAGGAAAAGCAGCAACGCTATTTGATCGCATCTTTTCGCCTCAGTCACTCAGTCACCCGCTAAACCGCATCCCCCTGACCTCCCTCATTCGACGAAGCCGCAGCTCTTTCTCCGCCGCAGCTCTTCCTCCGCCGCCCATCAGGTCTGTTCTTTTGGTTCTTCCTGGTCTTCTTGTTCGTCTTGTTTCTCTTATTTTCTGCGCCTCTTGTTTTCTTTGACCGTTCAATTCTTCTTCGATCTGCTTTGTCGTTCTGATTTGATCTTCTTCTCGTTTTGATTTTCGTTTATTTGGTTGGTAATGAGTTCTTTATGGAGATTTTCTTGACCTAGATTCTGTTTGCTCATTATCATCTGTCCATTTTCCACAGATGGCGGACCTTACGGCGGCCAAACGGTGTTCGCGCTGCCATGTTTCTAATCCTGGGAGCAGCGCTTGTGTCGACAATTGTCCGTTCGAGGGGATTCTTAACCAAGACAGGAAAGGAGATGTTTTACTGTACCAGTCCCTGCACCCAGAAGCGGTTAAGATTTTGGTCGATTTACCTCCAGAGGAAGTTCTTGAACCGTTGGAGTGGCTTCTTTCGGAGACGACTCACCTGCGGAAAGCAATTATTGACGGAGATTTTGTTGTACTCCCGTGCGCTCGAATCTGGAAAATCTTGGAGGGTAATTACACGAGTGTGGCGGCGATGAAGGCAGATCTGAAGAAGGCTACAGAAATCGACGATGGTTCAGAACCGTGGAAACATCTGATTGAAATTCGTCGACAGGCAGCCAGCGGTCGAGTTTACAACCTTCGTCACCGAACCACCAAAGTAGTCGTCGATCGCCCCGGCGGCAGAGGCAAGGGTAGAGGCAAAGCGAAGGGTAGAGTCGCCACAAACACCACCAAGGCGGGGTCCGTAATTCAGCAGCTCAAATCAACCATAGGAGGCAACACCAACCGAGAATCCGGCACCGGTCCTTCCTCTGACCACACAACCAACACTTCCGACAGCCCTGGGTCCTTACCCGAGACCAATCGTCTCACTCCTCCGCGAGAGCTGGTTCCGCATCCACCTTCTCCTCCACCGGGACCAAGCCAAGCCCCCACTTCTGGCAATGACGACACCGGGTCACAACAGGAGGAGCCGTCGGCACCGAGTTCTCTCTCGACTCCTTCATCGGGGCCTGGTCCTCTCCCTACTCCTCGGCCGGTTCAGGTTCCGCTCTCCACTGCTCCGACGGGACCAGGCGAAGTCCCCACTTCTGGCAATGACAGCGAGGAAGGTCCGAGGACTCTTATCCCCGGCGCACATAACCAGGCACAACAGGAGGAGGAGCAGCGCGCCCCGGTTCCGCACTCCACTCCTCAGCCGGGAACAGGCCAATCCCCTACTTCTGGCAATGACGACACTGCGAAAGTTCCTTCGCCTGTCCGCCTCCCCACTCCTCTGGCCAATTATGATGATGACAGCGATGATGGAGTAGAGTCGGTCTATGATGAAACTGCCCCACGCACCCTTAAACCCGGCGCACATGACCAGGGACGACAGGATGAGCCGCCGGCACCGGGTCGTCTCCCTTCTCCTCGGCCTGATCAGGTTCAGCTCTCCCCTGCTCGGACGGGACCAGGCCTATCCCCCACTTCTGGTAATGGCAACGATGAAGGTCCGAGCACCCTTATCCCCAGTGCACATAACTCGCCACACCCGGTCCCCGATCCTACCCCAACCTCCCCTAGAACCGGCCCAAATAGCCCTGTACAACCGGACCCCAATCCTACGTCAACCCCCCCAAGAACCGGCACAAATACCGTGGAGCAGAACCTTAGTCCTCCTCAGTTAAACGCCCCTAGGCCCGTCCCAGATGACGAGCCACACCCGGAGGAGCCACACCCGGAGGAGACAGATGTTGTGGAGGAGCCACACCCGGAGGAGACAGCGATATGCCTCCCTAACCGCATCCAACCTCACACCAGCCTCCACCAAGAATTGTTCTCCCCTATTTGATGTAGCTTGAGTGCGATTGATCTTAACCTTCTTTTTGTAGTGTGAGTAGAACTGAGACATATTCGATCGCAGATGACCGACAGCCTGATCAACAACATCTGGCTCCTCCGGGTGTGGCTCCTCCACAACATCTGTCTCCTCCGGGTGTGGCTCCTCCGGGTCTGTCTCCTCCACAACATCTGTCTCCTCCGGGTGTGGCTCCTCCGGGTGTGGCTCGTCATCTGGGACGGGCCTAGGGGCGTTTAACTGAGGAGGACTGAGGTTCTGCTCCACGGTATTTGTGCCGGTTCTTGGGGGGGTTGACGTAGGATTGGGGTCCGGTTGTACCGGGCTATTTGGGCCGGTTCTAGGGGAGGTTGGGGTAGGATCGGGGACCGGGTGTGGCGAGTTATGTGCACTGGGGATAAGGGTGCTCGGACCTTCATCGTTGCCATTACCAGAAGTGGGGGATAGGCCTGGTCCCGTCCGAGCAGGGGAGAGCTGAACCTGATCAGGCCGAGGAGAAGGGAGACGACCCGGTGCCGGCGGCTCATCCTGTCGTCCCTGGTCATGTGCGTCGGGTTTAAGGGTGCGTGGGGCAGTTTCATCATAGACCGACTCTACTCCATCATCGCTGTCATCGTCATAATTGGACAGAGGAGTGGGGAGGCGGACAGGCGAAGGAACTTTCGCAGTGTCGTCATTGCCAGAAGTGGGGGATTGGCCTGTTCCCGGCTG